CACTCACCCAGCACACACACTTTTTGCCCCACTCCCCTCAGGAAGGAGGTTGAGGAGCATTAAGTGTAGAACCACTAGACTGAGGAACAGCTTCTACCCTGAGGCTGTTAGACTCATGAATCTCTAACCAGAATAATGCTGCTTCCTTAGATAAAGAACTTTACTAAGTGGCTTTTCTGTGTGTATGAATGTTCCTGTAAAGTGCCCTGAGACAACTTTGTTGTGATATGACGCTATATAAATGATCTGAATTGAATTGAATTGAATAATCACTGTGAAGAAAAAGAAAAGTCACTGTAATGCCACTTGATTGTTGATATGTGCTGCTGATTATCCATGCTGCTGATCTCATGCTGCTGTATTCATTCATACTCATCTGCTCACACAGACTCATGTTCGTGCTGCTGTTCAGCGTATTGTTTTTATGCTGCTAGTGCTTAGTGTATTTTTAGTGTTTTTCTTAGTTCATATCTTAGATCTTATTACTGTTTTTCTTTACAATTTATACTTTTACTGGATGTAACTGGAACCCTATGTACACCATTTCATCCCACAGCCTGTGCCACATATGATGTGAATGACAATAACCCTTGACCATGACCTTGATAAACAAAACTAACCCCAAAATCCTAACACCATGACAGTACCCACCCTCCAAGGGACAGTGCATGGTGTCCAATAAACAAAACACATCCATCTGAACTGGGTGAAGGGTTGAGCCTGGTAGAAAGACCAGGCAGATTTAAAGGTGAGGCAGGAGAAACCAGTTCAGGGCATCAGGCCAGAGTCCATTCTGACAGATGTACCACCGCAGCTAAGTGGTGCTGGACTGGACCCACTGAATGTCCGGTTGCTCAGCGTGATGTTTGAGGTGGTAATAACGTGGTATAAACTGACAACCACTGGGCACGAAGTGGAGGAGGATTTGACCAGATCCCTTTCTCTGTATGTTTTATTGTTAACATTAAGATGCTATTATTTTACACATCTTTCACCCATCAGTCACTCACCCATTGACTCAAAACTCATTTCAGTTAATTTAATGTTTTTAAACAATTTAAACATCCAAACTGGTTGATATGTTTGGATTCAAAGTTTAGGTTTGTATTTAATGAACACATTCACATAAGAAATACGAAGGTTGTGTAAAATGTGTGAACTTTATGTCATCACTGTGTTGAGACCTTTACGACCTGCTCTGTTTGGTCACAGAGTCAAACTTAGTTTCAGCGCTGGGCTCTCAGGAGACCGCGCTGCCCCTGAAGGTCGACAACTTTCATCACTGCATGTTCCAACAGAAACACGTGTGCATGTTTGAAAAACAAACGTAATAATTAATGAGGTCCGCTGTGAGCTGCTCCACACAGACACTCATCATAAACAGTTTCTAATGGTATTATCCCAGTGGGAGGAAACAAGGAGCCAGAGCTCAGAGAACAACACCGACTAAAAACAAAGAAGTTTAAGTCACTAAACTTTTACAGGGACTTACTTTATTGTCAAACTCTGGCTTTTCCAACAAACTCAAATTGGCAAAAGACCAGCGAAACAAGAGGACAAATGTCAGTGTCACCAGTTGGACCAGTAAACGTCTTTAGGTCGAACAATACCAAAAACACGGACACCAAATATGAGGCAACTTATTCTGGTTCCTTCAACCATCTTCCACGCCGGTGGAAACGTGTCTCCAGATGAGCCATTTAGAAATTTCAGAAACAAACAACGCAACAAAAGAAACAACAACAACAAAAACAGCAACAACAACAACAACAACAACAAACCCATGTCCAAGTGAAAAAGTAAAAATAATTGTATTTACAGGCTGAAGTTTCTCCTGAGAAAAAGTCCCCTGAACACCCCAGGCTTTAATTTAATGATCTGCCTGGTCACTGAGACGCCAAGGAGTTCACTTCAGGACTCTCGTTTCTCATTGTTGTAAACAAAACATGTTAAAGAGTTCACTATAACTTTAGAATTTAAAGTTGTAATGTAACTTTTATAATATTCTACATGAAAATGTGAAAATAATTATGTTTTATTGATAAAACTGTCTCCATGAATCTTCATTCTTTAAACTTAACCCGACCCAGAGGTGGTGCCACCTTCTCTGGACTCCATTTGGTTGAACTATCACAAAGTCAAAACATGGATCAGGATTCCCAAACCTTGTTGGAAGAAATGGACCAAAGAGGAACAGGAGAATCCAGGCTGTTGGCAGCAACAAGTCCAAAAGTCTGGTTCTGTAATGGTCTGGGAGAGGATCAGGGTTCTTGTCCAAAGCAAAGAAGATCCAAATGCTCAACCACCTGAACAATAAAGAAGACTCCTTCTGAGCCAACATTTGATGGTCAGATAAGACAAAAGAACACCAACAAGAACCTCCAACAACTTGGTACTTACTGTTCACCATGGCGGTGGTAGCATCATGCTCTGGGACGGTCTGGCTGCACACATAAGAGTTCTGTTATGTCTCAGATTGGCTTTGGGTTTTGTGAATGTTCAAGGCATGGCTCACAGGTGTGGGTGTGGGAGTTCTATGTTTCTGCCAGCTACACTCACTGTCTCCCACAGCTGTAGCAGATACCAATCTGCCAGCCCTACACACCTGACCCTGATTTGGAGGACGACTCTGCAGGAGCATCAAAACTTCAGCCGGACACTCCTTCAGCACTGGGACATTGTCATATCTATGGTAAAGCTAATGGACAGCCTCTAAACTGACTCCAGACATTTTGTTTCTAAAGATCCTGTTTTGTGATCTCCTGCAGTGACTTTCTAGTCGTGGAGTCCTCAAGACTTCCAAGGCCTCGTTGCTCCTCAAGACCTCCACTCATTCTGATGATGTCCCAACTACAATCCAAAGCCTTGAGCCTGAAGAACCAACCATCTGCCTCAACATGACCTGCTCCTCACTTCATTGGTGCTTACATCTCTTCATTTAAGGACCTCCTGGAACCAAGACCTCACAACTCTCCTCTCTGGCTCCAACTACAACAAAGACAATCTCAGTAAGATAATTTAATCCCCTTCCTAAATTAATCATCATTCAAGAACAACTTCCAGTACTCACCTTGTCCCTCCTTCCTTTTCAGGCCAGAAACGGAGCACCTGTAAATAAAGATACTTAATTTTGTACACCTGTCTCTGTCGTCCCTTCAATCTGCCACTTGGGGTCAACATACAACCAAAAACATGTTTCTGGCCTTGGCTCATGGTTCTGTAATGGTCTTGCCTTAGCTCAAGGTTCTGTAATGGTCTGGCCTTAGCTCAGGGTTCTGTAATGGTCTGGCCTGGGCTCAGGGTCCTGTAATGGTCTGG